GACTGTGAATCTAATGCGTATCTGTATTAAACCAGATCCTTTTGATCAATCGTTATTTCTCTAATCTCTTTAGACATGTCCATTTCCTATTCCTTTTGTAATTCTAATCACTTTGAAGTACCCTTTTCGTCATTTTTTCCATCGCTTTCTAATTAGTCTTAAAACATTCTCTGTGACTTCAAATCTTTATTCGGATGAAACCATCTTTGTGTTCTAATCATTTTATAAGGTTTTCTCTCTCTCTCTCTCTCTCTCTCTCTCTCTCTCTTTCTCTTTTCCTTTTTTTCTTAGTCGTATTATTTGTTCTAATTAGTTTAAAGAATAATTGTATTCAATTGTTCTAATCTCCTTGAAAAGAATTCTTTCTGTAATATTTTTAAGTAATCCCAATTACTTTGAAAGATTTTTCTTAATTTGATTCTAACGAAAAAAAAAAAAAAAAAAAAGAAAAAAGACAAAAAATATTCTCTACGATTTCTCTAATGATTTTAATCATTTGAAAAATTCCTTTACGAAAATTCTTTCACTTAAAGATACAATAAAAATTGTGAAAAATCTCATAAGTAATTACTTTCCTTTTAGTATTATTCGAATTTCATCATTTCCATGTACTCGATCCTCTTCTTTAAAAGATTACGAAATATTAATTCTCTTTCTAAGATACACCCATTTTTCATTTTATTGCCAGTTCGATTAGAAAAGAGGGAGATAGAAGAAAAAAAAGTTAGAGTTGTACGTGGAATCGATCGATCTTCTATCAAAATGATTGATTGATCGTATAGAGGACAAAATTTCTAAGTTCTCTTGCTCCACAAAATACTTATCCTCTCGACGTCCTTCAAAGTTGGAATCGCTTTTCGAAAAATATCTCGCGTGGTTGAACGTTGAAAAGTTAAGGACATTTGGGAAGGACATGAAAGATTTTGTGGTAAAGAAAAACGTTAGCAGTCGCATACAGGAATCCTTGGGATTTCTTTGAATGTTCACGGACAGCTGTCCTCACAAGATGAAAAATTGAAAGAGAATTTGAGAAAAGCTAAAAGTATCTAAGTTATTATGCTAGTATTTTTTTTCTTTTTTTCTTTCTTTTTTTCATATCTTTTTTGTCTTGTTTTTTAATTTATACGCAATCTCGGAATATTATTAAAAACAAATATTTAGCGACAAAATTAAACATAATGATGATTTGTTAATAATAATTTTTATACTCACAAATAAATGAAATAACGAAATAATATTTATTACGTCAAGTAGAACATGTCAATTAATAATCAGCCCATCTATTAGGAATGAAATCATTTGTAATATATCATTAACATGAAATTAATTAAAATGAATAAACCCGATTATATAGATTGAAATATTCTAATACGAATAATCCGTTGTTAATATCGAGTAGAAAATGTCGATGTATGATTTACTACGTTTAAATACGATCGATTCGATGAATTAAATCCTTTAACGAAGATCCAAAGAAATATCTATATTCTAAGACTGATAAAAAATTTGTAAAAATATCTCGTGATAATAATGTCACAATATTAATAATAATTTAAGTTCGATCGTTTTAACAAATAGAATGGACATTGTAATATTGCTGATAATTCCAAGTACTTAGTAGAAAATGTCAAAGTATAATCGGGCAATGAAATTTGTTCCTAAAGTTTAATACCAAACGTAAAAAGTATAATATTAGAGATTTCGGACGTGGCTTATCAAGAATCTCACGAAGCTCATAACTCGAAGCTTCGCTCTCCGTTTTCATCGTACGTTCTCAGCGTGTTTCGCCAACGATCGATCGTATATTTCGTAATGTCTCGACTCGAAACGTTTCGACACGCGAAAGCCGAGCTAAGCTGCGACTTTCGTTTAAGTAGTTTCTCGCCGATCCAAAAATCCTTGACGAGAAAAACTCAAATGAATCCTCGATAAAACTTCAATCTCTTTATTCGGCCATTTTTATTTTCAAAAGGATTTTTCACTTAAAGAAATTCTTTTAATCTAATTAATTAAGAAAATTTTATTAGATCTATCCAAAGCTAATTAATTTTCAATTCTTTTACCTATCGTACAATTATCAATTATCAAAGATATGTAAATATAAAAGTAAACGTATGATAAAATAAAAAAGAAATATATATATATATATATATTTTTTTTGTTAACGATTGGTTCATTCGTTCAACATATTATGTAGATTAAAAATAATTTTATTTCTAGAACATTATCCGGTCGATTGACAATTCTGAAACTAGTTGATTGACATTAACTGAAACTTATTTATCACAATTTCTTTAACTACCAGTCACAATTAAACTCAAAATACGTGTTTGAAGGAAATTTTGTTTCTAGGTTACCACGTTTCTTTCTCTCTCTCTCTCTCTCACACACACACACACACACACATACACATTCTCCTTATATCTCTTTCGTAATCCAGTTAGAGAACTCAGATGCATCAGGATCTTCTCTCGATTCCTTTAGAAAGCAATATAAGTTTCACATATGTACAACTTAACGTAAATAATATATAGAAATTCTAGACTCGTCGAAAAGTCAAGTTCTTGTTTCGTACTTGTGTGACACATAATATATTATGTACTTATACCTGGGATATCTTATCCAGGTATATGTACTGTATATACTCAATGTTCATGTTCATTCTCGTTAGTTGCTTTTGACTCGACAACTCGTTCGAAAATTTTCCTTCCCTTGTTCACGTTTTCACGAAATAGAAGAAGAAGAAGAAGAAAAAGAGAGAAAGAGAGAGAGAGAGAGAGAGAGAAAGAGAGCAAAACCTAGACTAGTTGCTCGAATTAATTAAACAGAATTAATTGGAACCTCTTGAAGTTTCCCGAACTAAAGTTTTCCTTTTCCTAGGAGATTCGATTCGATCCGTTAACAAACCAAGCATCGAGTCGAGTCTTAAGTTAGTGTTAAAGAGAGTCGTTGAAATGGAACATGGCCTTAAAAAACAAATAAAAACTAAAAAAAGAAAAAAAAAAAGAAAAAAATTAAAAAGTTGAAAGAAAGAAAGAAAGAAAGAAGGAAAGAAAAGGGAAATAAAAAAGAAAAAAGAAGAGAAAAAAAAAGGGTCACTCGTTGTGCTTTGTGCGAAAGCATGAAACCTTTTCAAAGGATTTCCAGGCTCGCTTTCAACGTTCCTTCTATCTCGCTTTCGATAATTGCACGGCTATACAAACTCTATCCTTTTCGTAAGATAAACTTTTTTTTTCTCTTTTTCTTTTCGTTTGTTTGTTTGTTTATTTGTTTGTCTATTTTGTTCAAAATTGATCGGGCCTTGATACATTAACGTCAATCCTCGTTATTATGTAAACTTTTTAACGATACGATCGTTAACGTTATCGCTGTAATAGCATTTACATGCACGGTTATTATCGTCATCATCTTGATCGGCATTAAAAATTATTGACAAGATTTGAAAAGTTATTATAACGAACATTATCGCCAAGATAAATATCGCGATCGTAAATATTATTGACAAATATCAAAGTTGATAAGAGAGAAAAAAAAAAAGAAAAAAAAAAAGAAAAGGAAAAAATAACGAAATAACAAAAAACTTCGCATGATCGTAAAGGTCACATCGAACGTATAAGAGAAAAATAAAATGGACAATATAAACTCGGAAAGTGATTCTTAAAAATGACGAACAAACAACTCGTTTCCAGAAGAAGAAATCTAGCACAATTGAAATGCACATGACCTATAAGATAACTGAACGAGACGAGGTATAAAACGCGAACTCGGTTGACTTCGATCAACAGTTCAGTTTGCATTTCAATGACGAGGAATAATAGAGGAACGTACAAAGTCTCTAGATAGTTTCTCATTTCTTTTATTTCTTTCGTTAAAAACTATAGATACATACATATATATATATATAACATATATATATATATATAAATATATATAATACATACATACATATATATATATAATACATACATACATATATATATATAATACATACATACATATATATATAATACATACATACATATATATATAATACATACATATATATATATATAATACATACATATATATATATAAACATATATGTGTACGTATGTGTATGTACCTACTCACTTACATCGTAACGACACGAATAGGCCTGGCCTTTTCTTTTAAAAGAAAGAGGCCATCACGTTCTTCCGACTAGGAACCGAGAGAAGATTAATGCCCTTCTGACTCGTCGAAAACAGAGTGCGGTGGAGGGACGGAGGAAAACGAGAGGCAAACGAGTACGACGTGCCGATGCAAATGTGTTAGCGTAATTGTAATTTACATGTTTATAAAGCTCGTTTGCATGTGATTCGTCTCTCTCTCTCTCTCTCTCTCCTTCTATATCTATCTAGCTATCTATCTTTTTCTCTCACCTTCTCTTCGTTCTTTCCTTCTACCTCTTTTCCTCTTTTTTTTTTCTTTTCTTTCTTCCTTTTTTTTTCCCTAGACGTCTTTTCAACGGAAGCTCGTTCCACGGGTGCACGCTATGACGTCGACCATACTTCGTCATAATTAAATCTAAAAATAGAGGGGACGTGTAAAGGTAATGGGAAAAAAGAATGCCGATAAATTGGATGGCCAAAAGAGGAGGACAAGATTTTCATTGACACGTATCTCTACTAAACAGGACTCTTCTCTATCTTTCAATAACACACGACACCTTTTTAATAATACAATCTAAAATTCGTGTATTCTTTTTCTGTTTTTTTTTTTTTTTTTCGTTTCAGAAAAGATTTCTTTTTAACGAGCCTAAGAGTTTTTTTTTTTTTTTTTTTTTTTTTTTTTTTTTTTTTTTTTTTTTTTTTTTTTTTGATACGGACAAAAAAAAAGATTGGGATTGCAAGTCTTTTCGATAATAAATATTTTCAATTTATAAGAGAAAAGCTAATGGAGATAGAAAAACTTGTGAAATCATTTCTTAAATGTAATTTGTTATAACTCTCTTCTTTTTTCTTTTTGTTTTTTCATTTCAGGTTGAGGATGCTGTCAACGAATTAGAGGGTATAGATCTAACGGATCCGGATTTGCATAAGGCAGCGACAAAAATTCAAGCGAGCTTCCGAGGTCATAAGGTTCGCCAAGAGGTTTCCGTTGCTCCTAACACCGAAGCCGAGGATAAGAAATAAGATGGCGGTCGGGCGTGTCGGCCATCTTGGGAAGAGGACCGAAAGTGATTTTTTCGTATATTCCCAGGAAGCGATTAAGGCAGCTAGTTTCTCGAGGAAGAAAAAAAAGAGAAAAAAGGAGGGAGAACAAATAAAAAATAAAGGGGAGGAAGAAGAGGAGGAGGAGGAGGAGGAGGAAGAAGACGAAGAGAAAGAAGAAGAAAAAGAAGAAAAAGTAGAAAACGAAGAAAACCATGTTACAAGATCTCCTCCTTTAGGCGAAACGAGGACGACAAATTGAGCGGATCATTACGCGAACGTCGGATCAGTTTCACTTTCGTTCCCTTTTCTTTCTTTTTTCTTCTTCTTCTTCTTCTTTCTCTTCTTTTTTTTCTCCTCATTCATTCTCGTGAATTCGCTCGAAGATATTCGTATTTCTTCCTGAATATTTCTTTTCTCTTTCTCTCTTTTTTCTCTTTTTTTTATTTTTTTTTTTTATTTTCAAATAAATCCTCAAACTTTGGAGAAGAGAAATTTCCGACGATGCTCGACATCGTGACGTGTTTGAAACGAGCAAGGAAAAAATTATTCAAAAGGGGGTGAAGGGGAAGGGGAAAGAAATCGACGAGAAGTAAATGTCAGATTTTTTCTTTTCGTATTTGTTATCAAAAAAAGAAAAGAAAAGAAAAAGAAAGAAAATGAAAGGAAGGTAAAGATAAAGAAAAAAAATAAGAGAGAGTATATATAAGTGAGTTTTCGACGTCCATATTTTTTCCTTATCCCTATTCCCCTGTCAGTCCCATTTTCATTTCGTAACGAATTCGATGCTGTGGTATGTGAAATCAATGGAAAAGCATGAAATACATCATTCGAAAGGGTCATTAAAAGCTCGAATGTGATTCGATATGATCGAATCTCCGTCTGTCTATCTGCTTACCTTTCTTTCTCTCTTATACATATATATATATATATATATATATATATATATATACATACATAGTTTCAAGCAAACGTAAACGTCGTTGTCGTCTCCTACCCTCTTTCCTACTCCCTAACCCTCTTTAGTGGGCTTAGAGCAAAGCACCGGTATAATTATCGGAAGCGATTCTATTTCGAGCAAGGCTAGCATACATACACCTAGATATACATATTACATACATAGATACATAGATACATATATATATACATACATACATACGTACATGAATACATACATATATGCATACGTATAGAACCAGCCTAAAGGGATATGTGCTTACGCACCTAGAAATTTATTACAGTGATCTGTGTACGAGAGATGTAACCCGGTAATTGATTTATGCTTTGACGCGTGCAATCGTAATGCCCATTAATTCCTATTCTTCCTTCTTCCTTAGGCCTCCCCTACTAATCACTTAATCTCTTTTATAAGAAGACTAGATATAAAATAGATATCTAATTTTTCGAAAAATTGTCAAAGTATGATCAATATAAATGAAGGATAAGGAAAAAGTAATTCGAATGACGATCGAAGCTCACAAAAATTTATTACTATTATTATTATTATTACTACTATTATTATTATTATTATTATTATTATTATTATTATTATTATTATTATTATTATTATTATTGTTATTATTGTTAGTGCGTAAGTATACATCGGCGATATTCAAAAAATTTTGAAAAGCATAACACAATCGGTCCTCGCGTTCACCGAGTCAAACTCGAGCTTGAAAACAAAATATTTAAAAAGAAAAAAAAAAAAAGAAATAGAAAAAAAGCAGAACAACAAAAAAGGTATATATTAAACTCCCTCGAGAATAAAAAGTTTTCAGTCGATTCAACACCACGTACGAATTTATTAATCGCGAAACTCATTATAAACTACCAAATTACGATGTATGGCAAATTATAGAGATGTTTGATAATCCATTTGAAAATTAATATATATATATATATATATATATATATATATTTTAACGCATATAATTTAATTTAAATTTATATATATATATAACGCGTAAAGAGCACCCTCATCTGCCCCACCTGGCCAACCCCCATTCCCTTTCTTCGACAAACTTATATACTCTCTTTACCGTATATATTATGTACGTATATTATTATTATTATTATTATTATTATTATTATATTGAAAAGATGAAACAATTAAAATAATAACAATTAAGAATAACGACGAAATATCTTATCGAATTGATAGTAAACAAAAAAAAAAAGAAAAAGAAAGTAATAAATTTAATGGTTAATGAACTATGGGACGCATACGTATGAGACACATTTTAATCGATACATATTAATTTCGATGATTCATTGGATCTTATTGTAAGAAGAATTATTCGAATATTTATAACTTTGTAATTTTTCTTTTTGATAATTTTCATTGTTCACGAATAACGTATGCGTAAGTATGATAAGAAGAAATTATAGAAAGAAATTTTCTTCATACAAGCATGCAAGAACAATTGTCTATCCTAAGGGGCTCATTTTCTCAGAATAATTCATCTGTTCTTCCGATAGTTGGCGCTCCAAGCAATCGTTGACATCGATCACTCATGATCGTAATACTTAGCTGGAAACCACACGCGATGGATGTTTGAAAAATAAATATTAGAACGAACGAGCTCGTTGTCATTGATCTATTATCACGAACAAATTTATGAATAATTCTTCCCGGCAAATGTCCAATGTTTTTTATCAAGAGAAAAAAAAAAGAAAAGAAGAAAGAATAATATTTCACATGCGAATTTATTTTTTAACGATGAATAACGAACAGCCAGTATTTCAATGCGTTAATTTAAAATATCTCGTTGTGACAAACACACACACACACACACACATGTTAAACGCTTATAAATCCTACCTTTTGCTGGATTCGAGTTTAATCATGATCAAAAAAAAAAAAGAAAAACGCAATTTACTTTAACGAGCGAACATAGATCATTGTACTGCCAAGCAAGCGATAAGAGTCAGTGTCATAAAATCTAATTTTATTCTAGTCTTATAGTTTTTCCTATTATTTGTAGATAAACAATTATGTAAATGATCGAACAATGATCCGATGTTTTTAGCAGGCCTAAAAACGTATAACGCTAATTAAAAAAGAAGAAAAGTAAGAAAAGAAAAGAAAGAAATGCAAGTAGCTTCTTCGTTTCCCGAGCATTGAGATTATTTTTTTCTTTTTTTTTTTTTTTTAATAATAACAATAATAATTAATAAAAGAAGAGGAAGGAGAAAAAGAAGGAGAAAAAGAAAAAGAAAATGAAAATGAGAAAAGTAAAAGAGATCATGGACCTTCGTTGATTAGGCCCATTCAGCGCATTAAATCGTTCTCGATTTTTCTTTAAAATCGTATTTATCGGGATTACTGATTATACAGAGATGCACGAAGCGACACGATTATTTTTGAACAATTGTATACATATGTATTTAACGATATTATGGACGAAGAGAATACATAATGAGTCGTCGATATTTCTGTATGTATGTACAGAGAATTTCGTGAAAATATTTCTTAAATATTCTCGTACGATGATACTTCACTAGAAAAGAAAAAAGAAAAAAGAAAAAAAAGAAAAATTCACGTAGATTGAAAATTTCTTTGAGATTAAAAAAGAAATTGAATGAGAAATAGAAAAAGAAAGTTATACTTCGTAGAGAGATACATACCGATATATTGTAAAAATATATAATAATTTCTCTCTTTCGTATAACGTTCTGAACTGTGAACGAGAACGAAAAACGTGCTTGAATTTGACCTTCGGAAACATTCTCAATGTTTAGAAGTTAGAATCCAACTAACATATATATTACAAACTCTTTCTCTCTCTCTCTCTCTCTCTCTCTCTCTCTCTTTCTCTCATTCGCTCTTTCTTTCTATTCTCTCTTCTATCATGGTTACACTTTGAAATTTTTCATTTGATTTTTCTTATTACAACATGACGATACTTTGTCGATTATCGAACGATTCAATAGACAATGTGTCTCCGTAATAATGTGCGTATGTATACGAATCACAAAAGTGCGATCATGCGAAAAATGGGGATTCCAAGTATATAATAATAACGCGACTCGTGACGCTTGATAAGAGAAAAATAATACCGAAGGTATAATAAAATTGAACATTTTCACACGAAGAACTTCCAATAATCGCTTATCTCCGATGCGAATTACGAACTTGTGAAATGAGATCGATCGATTCGTTTTACCTGAAAGAAAGGAAGAAAGAAAGGAGGAAAAAGAAAAGAAAAAAAAGAGCAAGAAAATGGAAAAGGAACAATGCGATTACATAGAACGACTCAGCGTAATTTTTGGCTAATTTTATCGTCCTCGTATAGCGAGATACACGATATCTCTCAACTTTAAATATTTCGGCTTTCTTAAGAAAAAAAAAAAAAAAAAAAAAAAAAGAAAAGAAAAAAAAAAGAAAAAAAAAGAAAAAAAAGAAAAAAAAATCCAAAATACATTCTACACATTCCAAGTTATTTATAAATTATTAAACTATCGCTTGTGTAAGAAGCTAACCAAGAAATGTTTGACGATCGTCGAAGATGTTTGTCACGTTAATTATTTAATATCGATATCGATAATGTTTTAACTGTGAATTCTTAACTATGATCGGTAAGGAAATTAGCTTGAAATTTTCATGAATTTTTAAAATATTTCTCATATAACGTTAATTAACTTTATTCTATCTATCTATCTATCTATCTCTCTCTCTCTCTCTCTCTCTCTCTCTCTTTCTCTCTCTCTCACTCTCTCTCACTCTCTCTGTAATACTAAATGCTTCCAATCTTAAACAATTTGATAAATCTCCCATCGAGAGGAGTAATATATTTGTTAAAATAAATAGTTGGGAAGGATTTCTTCTATCGTTGATTATGTACAGCTTAGATAAGAAAAAAGAAAGAAAAAGAAAAAAAAAAAGGCAACAAACATTTTCGTCGATACGACGTCATTATCACATTAAACTAGATTAGCTATGCACAAAATGCTGCAATATACATATATTACAATGTAAGAAGAAAAAACAATTGTAATGTTTAAACGAGCAGTATCGTGTATGTAATCTGTTTGTGTATAAAAAAAATAAATATCCATTAAATGTATTAACTAAAGGCACGTTGATTATAAAATTACGTGTCGAAATTGAACTGCTTATATACGGAAACATTTGTTTTTGCTTCTTTTTTTCTTTTTTTACATATATATATATATATATATATATATATATATATATATATATATTTTAAAATGCAAAGATTATTATAATGAAATAGTATATTATTCGCAAAATTACCGTTAGATGGTGCTTCAAACGCTTCCGAACTATCGATAATGCAGTTTTTCAACGAAACGCGTCCATGTTTATATATATGTTGTTTATAAATGTCGTGCATGTGATTCTAAGTACATTGACGTTTTATGTAAATAATTTAATTGCCTTAGTATATATATATACACACAAACACACATTTATATTTACTACTTTTGCTATTATAAAAAATACGATAAAATGGGTAAAAGATATTACTGCGATTATTGCGATAGATCGTTTAAGGACGATCCAGAAGCCAGAAGAAAACATCTATCTAGTTTACAGCATGCCAAAAATCGAGCGGATCATTATAGTTTTTACAAAGGTATTTAACGTAATTTAATAACATTAAACTTTTACAAAGAATATTATTATCAAAAAGAACTATCATGTAAACCTAACCTATACGATCTTCCTTTTATTTTCCATTATCTATATTATTTTTATTTCCATTGGAAATGATTCCTTTTAGATCCTGAAACAATATTGCAAGAAGAACAAGGAAAAATACCTTGCAAAAGGTATATGAGCAGTGGTGATTGTGCTTTTGGAAGTAGTTGCAAGTTTTCTCATTATGCACCATCCTTGATATGGGAACTTCAGCATATCGGTAATAATAATAATAATAATAATAATAATAATAATAATAATAATAAATACTAAGAAATATTTTAAGATATAGAGCAGATTATATTGATATCTTTTTGTAATTTAAAGTTGCAGCTAAACAAATGGCAGCGTCTCACTTTAGACCACAAGGTGGATGGCCCAATCCAGATGATATAGTTAAAGAATTTTTTGTAGATATTACCAATCCAGATACAACAGAAGAATTTACTTATCCCATATGGGATGTACCACCGGAATTTCATAATTATCCAAATTTACCACCATCGTTATGGCCTGTCACACCAGAAAGCCTTACCGATTCCAATTTTGCACAGTGGAGTTGATGTAAATAGCTTTCGCACTCTGCTTTGAACACATTGTACATATACGATAACATATTAATTTAAATGAAATAAGTTTACGTAAACAAGATAAAATAAAAATTAATTTCATGTCAATAAAAATCATCACCATCATAAATCTCATATTAAAGGATTGTTATAAAACGAAATATAAGTAATTATAAATAATATTTATAATTAATTAATCATTATAAATAATATCAATAATATTAATAATATTATATTCAAGAAATATATTAATTTTTCTCTCTCCCTGTCTCTTTCTCTCGAATACTATTTGCATATACTTTTCTTCGTTTTTTGTTGTATTTCTTTTTTCTCTTTTTTTTTTTTTTTTTTTTTTTTTTTTTTTTTTTTTTTTTTTTTTTTTTAAATAAACCAAACCCATTTACATGAAGATTCACAACTTCTTAACAGTTTCTTCAGTACAATATTTAGTCAACAAAAAAATATATATATATATAAATAATTCTTTATCCATATTGTTCAACTATACAATATAATTTGTTACAATAACATATTAATGTTAAAAAAAAAATTGCCATATTCTAGTGAAAACAAACGATTGACGCGCCATCTTACATAATAAGATGGAAAAAGATCGGAGGGAACATCGGGATTGGTCGATAAATTTCGCGGCCGGGCGTCTACCCCCTCCACCAATCGCCGAGCAAGATCGGGCCGCCGCATAACGACTACGCGTCGCGGCACAGTAGCGAAGTGTCCGTTGGCACGAATGCATTTGGCGGTTTATTGATAATTCTTAGTTTCTTCGTTGGCGCGTCGTTTCTCGTCGGTAAAACTTAGTCGATTCCTTTATCCTTACTTTCTCGTACGTTCACCGATCACCGCGTACATTAAGATTATGTGGTCGAAAAGTTCGACTCGGTATTCGAAGAAGCGCCGATCGTCGTCCATCGTCCTTCTTCGTTTCTGTGTTTGAAGGAACGCATGCGGTGCTTCGATTCGTCCTGACGCCGCCGGGGCCCCTTCGCCGATTTTGCCAACTGGATTTTTTTTTTGATCCTCTCTTGTTGTGTCCCACTATCAGCTACAACTACACCTCGTCATAGTCGGTGAGTCTTTGTTCTTTTTTACTTAAATTTTCTTTTCTCATTTTTTCTTTCTTTCTTTCTTTCTCTCTTTCTCTCTCTCTCTCTCTCTCTCTCTCTCTCTCTCTCTTTCTCTCTCTCTCTCTCTCTCTCTCTCTCTCTCTCTCTTTCTCTCTCTCTCTTTCTCTCTTTTTCTCTATGTTGCTCGCTTGCTCGTTCGCTCTCTTTTTTTTGAAAAGCACATGCGTCAACTTGTTTCTCGCGCGAATTGTGTTACTCGGACGAAAAAAAAAAACAAAAAAGGGCGATCGGGGTGGTTCGACGTTCTTGAAAAATAAAAACGAAGTAAAAACGAACAAATGAAGCGACCAATGAAAAACGTTCGAAATGATTTTTACAATTAAAGATTATCCTTATAGATCGATTATCTCATATATTGCATTTGTCCTTTTTACGAACGTTTTTATTTTTTTCCTCCCTTTTAAATTTACCAACGTTACTGGCGGCGGGGTATTTAAGAGGAATGTTATCTGGCATCAAAAGCGTTCTTTATGACGTCACACTTTGTTACCTACAATTATCTCATAGAATTTGATTGACGTTTCGTTTATTATTAATCGTTTTATTTGATTTATTGACGTGTACGTGTAATAATAATAAAAAAAGATTATTATATTAGACCGACGTGTGATATGACAATAATCGTTACATAACCTATAGATATCAGTAATACAACAAAGAGTGAAAGAGAGAAAGAGAGAGAGAGAGAGTGAAAGAGAGAGAAAGAGAGAAAACTTTGAAAATCAAATTCAATGTGTTCTCTTTTATGACGCATTAATCGTTGGTATACAAGATGGCGGATAGCGAGAAAAATGAATTTTGCGAGACGATATTTATGAAAAACGATCACGTTTCTTAACAATGATCACCATCATTCGTGAGAATAATTTTGAATGATTTGAATTGTAATTGAATCGTATAGTACGATCGAACAGGGATTGGACATGTGATTTTCGTATATAAATAATTTAAATGCAGGATATATTTTATCCACATATATATATATATATATATATATTAATAATCAAAGAAAGTATACTTTAATATAATAATATTCAATATATTAAGATTACATTGCGATTAAGAATATTATACTCGGTGCGATTTATATATATAAATATATATATATATAAAACTATTATCACAAGAAAAATATTCAGTTCTCGTGATATTTGATAAAATGACTAACCATTAAGGAAACATGTGATAAAATGATATCAGTGTATCGATTGAGAATTTGTTCTCTCTTCAATAAACTTCTTCGTAAGGTTTAAACGAGTTATCGCTTGTTTTTTGGCTCGAATACGTTGATCTGCGTCCTTGCGCGTTCCGTTCCGCGTGCTCGCGCCACGCGATCGAACGATTCCTTTTCGTCGAGCTTTACTAGGCGCCGATTTGAATACAATACCGTTCTCGGATCTACTGCGTTCACTGTTGCGGAACGTGTTACGAGCTATGAAAATCCACCCATCGAGACGTACACACACACACGCGCGCGCGCACACACATACACAAACACACACTCACACCCACATATGTATATATATAATGTGGAATATTGAATATTAAATTTGAATATTAAACTAAAAATTGTTTTACTATATGTGTGTATATATATACATATATATATGTATGTATACATTTTGTCATTAATAATAAAAATTTAATTTATAGAAAACAAATTATATTATATAGTCATGAGATATTGGTATTGATAATAATTTATCATAATCATAATCGATTCGGTATAAAAATATCTAAAAATGACAGAACAGTTTCGTTTATTCGTGAGTCGTTCCTTCGGTCTGAAGGGGAGAGAATTGGAAATGATAATCGTATCGTCTAAAGGAGATTCGTACTAAACTAGGGGAGAGGAAAGTAGTAGTGGTAGTAATAGTAATAGTAGTAGTAGTAATATAAGAAGTAGAAGAACAACAACAACAAGACGAAGAAGAAGAAGAAGAAGAAGAAGAAGAGAAGGAGGAGGAAAGAAACTTATATTGCATCGAAAGAAAGAGAGGCAACGACCTGCCAGGGAAAAGTAACATGCAGTCCGGTCACGATTCTTCGAGAAGGTCGTGACCTTGACGATATAGGCTACAATGGTACGTTTACCAATGTGCATCGACGATATTTCGAATTAGTTTTCGATATCGAATTTATGATTGCCTTATTCCGATCTCGATTTATATTAACTACAATACATACTTACATTTTTCTTTACCTTGTTACTTAAATCCAACGATAGAATTGAAAGGATCATACGTACATCCGATATTATTCTTCTCTTATTATTATTATTAATTTTGTTATAATTATGATTTTATAAGAACATCGAAAAATTTCTTAAATTATATATCCATATAATAATACATACAAATAGAAAATAATGATAAATAATAATATTATTTAGACTGATTCATTAATGTTTGAAAAGATTCTCGAGCTTTTTTCAAAGAAAGATTTTCGAACATCTGTGATCCCCTTCATGATACAACAATACAACACGCGTGCACATTATCCTGAATGAAAGCGATTTCACTCTCGACCTTTTGTCCTTTCTTGCCTCCTCTTCTTACAATCGATTGTCGTGTCGACGTATGACACACGCCATCGTTTCTCTAATTTAATGCCATCAGGCAGTACGATTATTTACAACAAAAAAATACCAACCGTTTGCAGTTGATAATCATTTATCATGATGATAGTAACCTAAATCGTATACGTACAATTGTAGTTCTATTTATAACTTAATTTCTTATTTATTTTCTTTTATATTATATAACAAATTAATGTTATGTAAGATATAATTATTGAAAATAATTTCGTGAATTTTATTCTCGAACTAAACAACGATAAACTTAAGAGTCTACGCACGAACGAATCAATGATTTCGTTTAGAAGAGACTCTTCAAAGACGAAGAGAAGAAAAAGAAGCTGCTAAAAACGTGTCGTCTAGCAATTTAACATGATTTATTTCGATTGCCTTTATGCGGGCCTTATTACGTCACACAATTTCACTGCCCTTTTGTGTCCATTCCATTCGAATCTTTTGTTTCTTTTTTTTTTTTTTTCCATTTTTGCCACAAGCTAATTTTACACGATGATCAAAATGGATGAAGAGGCGAAGGGGTAGAAATTCAAAATTTTATTTTTACAAATATCACAGTTTTTTACGATAAATTTTATAAATCTTTTTTCTTTTTATAAATTTTTACGTACAATTAATAATAAAATTTCAATTATTTATACATACGTAAATGTAAACGAATATTTAAAATTTTTAATGAGACTTGAAACTCGATTGTAAGACAATAATAAAATATTAATATATATATAAAATATTAATATATATATATATATATTTCTAATACCTTGTAAGAATAATCATAGTATATATACACGAGAGTTAGTATAATAGAAGTTTAATTAAAATCAATGACTGTCAATGATTCGAAATGTTTACTCTTCGTCATTTGAAATGACGATCATTGCTACGAATCTATATCGTGTTTATACGAAGCAATTTTTATTTTGACTAATGTGACAGACGTCAAAGTTCTATTATCAAGAAGAAAAATAGAGTCGTCTTTTGATCTTCTGCTTCTCTTTATCAATCGTTCATTGACGCTTACTAATCACATTGCAATTCGTTTTTTCGTTTTCTACTTATTTTATTCTACATTTACTTCATATTATTATTATTATTATTATTATTATTATTATTATTATTATTATTATTATTATTATTCTTTTTCTTTTATTTTACAATCGTCGTATTTCACAAAATTTGATCTGTCATATAATAATAATAATAATAATAATAATTATTATTATTATTATTATTGATAGTTTAACTATGATTATTATTTACTTTTTCCTCGTTTTATATTTTTATAATAACAATTGAAATTCAGTATAATTTCGTTTATTCACGCAGATTATTATTCTTTCTTTTCAAGTATTTCTTATATGGGTGGGGAAAAAGAAAATCAAAGAAGGAAATAAAAGAAGTTAAATATTTAGAAATCCAAATA